GACGCGGGGCTCGAACTCACGGACCGCGAGATCGTGACCTGGCTGAAGTCGGACGCTTAACCGACTGCGCCACCCAGGCGCCCCTTTCAAGCATTCTTAAAGTGTGTTGTGAATGTTATGATTGCTCTTTAGGTAATAACTAAATATTACATATCAAGATCTTTTTTTTTTTTTTTTTTATTTAAGTGGTACATGATCAGCATTGTCCACATTTATAATCGATGGAGGAACAGTGAAATTCGGTGTTATGTTAATGGACAGCTGGTATCCTATGGTGATATGGCTTGGCATGTTAACACAAATGATGTAAGTTTTTTGTTTTTTGTTTTTTTAATCTGTGCTTTAATGTATTTGAGTGTGTGATCTATCACTATTCATGACATTCATGAATTTTATAATAGTTTGGTAGAAACTTAATAGTTGTACTTCTGAAAGTTTTATTCAGGTAAATGAATTTTTAGTTCTTAAATTTAGTATAATTAAGTTGCTAAACTAGATGATTAGTGATGAAAAAAGGGAAATTGCTCAAATAAATTATTAAGTATTAGGTCAAAACATCCATGCAATATTCTATTCTTTCTAGAATTTCAAGCATTAAAAACAAAAAGGTCTTACACCTTATTTGGATGTGAAAGGAAGACCTTACACACAGTGAATCAGTATAACGTGTAGTCACTATTATTTACTACAGAAATAGTGATAAATGCTGTGGAGAAATATTAAGTGGGAATAGGTATAGAGAATATAGGTATAGGGAAGGGGGAAGCCAGTTGGTACAGAGATGATCTTAGTGAGAAGAGTTTAGGGAGCAAGTCATGTGGATATTTCGGAGAAATATCCCATTCACTGAAAGCAGTGAGTGCAGAGCCTTTGAGGCAGAACGGAAAGTTAATTGAACAAATAAGCAGCCAGTTTGCCTAGAACAGAGGGAGGAATGGATAGAACAATGTTGAGAGGTAAGGTTTAGACAGACCATAGAGGGTGAAATCATGCAGGCGTCATACACAAACATAATACCTGGGCTTTCCCATCTTAGCCAGCATAAAAATCTTAGGAAGGGTTTCAGCAGACAAGTGGCATGATGCAGGCTCATATTTTTTTTTTAATTTTTTTAACGTTTATTTATTTTTGAGACAGAGAGAGACAAGAGCATGAATGGGGGAGGGTCAGAGAGAGGGAGACACAGAATCTGAAACAGGCTCCAGGCTCTGAGCTGTCAGCTCTGAGCGCCCGACTCGGGGCTCAAACTCAGGGACCGTGAGATCATGACCTGAGCCGAAGTCAGATGCTTAACTGACCGAGCCACCCAGGCGCCCCCAGGCTCATATTTTAAAAATGTCCATCAGTCTGCAGTATTGAGAATATTCTAAAGGGAAAAAATGGCAGAAGCAAGGAGATCAATTGAATGACTTACTGTGATAATAACAAGCAGGTAATACGAGTTTTAGCTAGCATGTTAGCAGTGAAGGAGGTAATACAATTGTATTCTGGAGGGAGCATATCTTGAGTTAAATCCTTAAAAGCTCTGTTCTGGGCTTTCCTTTGTCATTATCCTGGCCTGTTAGAACCAAAGTAAAAGATGTTTTCAAATGCCTGATGTTTTACCTTCAAACCCAATAATACACAATCATTCCAGCATACCTGGTTTTATAAAAACTTGGCCTTTCTCTAACAAAATTCACTTCTCAGTGTTGTCTACATCTCTGCAAACTTTAATTTCCTTAAGGGCAGGGGTCTCTTCTTGTTCTCACTTGTATTGTTTTAAATAGTACTGTGTCTGTAGTCCATATTTTCCCAGGGTCAAGGGTTGGAAGAGTACTCCTTACAGACATCTGAACCTTGAACTGTTTTCACATGACCTAAGAGCTGAGCATCTTGTTTTTTATTTTTTATTTTTAAAGGTTTTTCTTCTTTTAAGATACAAACAAAAAATCAAGAAAGATTATGTGACAGAAACCACATGTGGCTGGCAAAGTTTAAAATCTTTACTATCTGTTCATTTATAGGACAAGTTTGCTTTTTTGCCCTAGAAACTCAAGGTGGGCCACAGTCAGTAAATTTTTGAGAATGACTTTGTCAGAATTAGAATGCACAGATGAAATTCTACTTTATCTCTGCCCTCCGGAGGGGAGACTTTTTATTATAGAGTGAAGGTAACCCCAATGACCTTGTTGGCTGTCACTACATCTAGTTATATTTAGAATGAAAGAAATGAAAAGAAAAGAAAAAAGAAAAAAAGACAGAGGGAAGGAAGGAAGGAAGAAGAGAAGGAAGGAAGGATTTTGATTTTTGAATTATTTGCAATAGTACACCAAGAAATGGAGAGGCCTGGGCCGTAACACTTACATACTCATACATTGTGCAGTAAATTCTTAAGTTCCTATAGTTTTAATTACAGATTGGGTATTTGATGAAGAGTTTTGTCTTTATAATTAATTCAGAAATATTTTGTTATTTTATTGAGGCACCAAAGGGATTCCATACATATGCAATGCTGTGCTTATCAGCACTAAGATGTGGAATAACTTTGAGAATGGGCAAAAGAAACTGGGGCCTAGCATTAGGTGACATTTAGAGAAATAGAGATGGGAAGGGTCTTAAATATGGCTTCTTAGGTCTTGAACTCTGCAGATGGAGAGCACTGTACCATCTGCTTTAGCCAGCAGACTTTGGTGATAATTATTTATTTGGTTCTGCATAATGCCTACTTATGGAAGAGAGGGAAGGGATTTTCATTGTGTCCTTGCTTTGTGTGGAGAAATAGAGGAATATATATCCCTGGTGGAGAAATTAGGTAGTTTCTAAAATTAAGCCTTATGTGTTTATGGTTAAAATTTGGAGTAGTCATTCTCTGATTCAGGTGAATCTCTCTCTATAAATGGACTGTTGTTAGAGCATGTGAGTTTTAAAATTAGTTTTACTTTTCAAAGTAGAATTTTAAGCCCTTTTACATTTAAGTATAACATTTGCAAAGTGGTTCAGTGATTATTGAGTAGATGGTTACTGTTTGTTTTACTTTTCCATAGATACGAAATACTTAACTGATTTACTTTTTTGGAAAATCTTTAGCTGGCTTTTATTATGTAAATATTCCCGAAGTCTTAAGTGATGCTTTTTTCTGTTATTATTGTTATACTTGAAGGTATACATGAAAGTGAAGGCGGGCATCCTTAAATATTTTATCATTACAAAATAATACATTGATTTTTTTTATGACTTTTTAAAAATAGAGCTATGACAAGTGCTTTCTCGGATCTTCAGAAACGGCTGATGCAAATAGGGTGTTTTGTGGTCAACTTGGTGCCGTGTATGTATTCAGTGAAGCACTCAACCCTGCGCAGATATTTGCAATTCATCAGTTAGGACCTGGATATAAGGTAGTAATAACGATCTTATGCATTCTATGGAAAGTTTTATGTGAATTCTATGTGAAATGTGATACAGTATAATATACAGTGATAGTCTTTCTTCAGTGTGCTTTAAAAGTCATCTCTGTTCTTTGGAATTTAGTTGTTAGTACAAGTTTCATTTTGCTTCAAAGGTGCTTTTTCTCTTTTGGATTTTTTTCTTCATGAACTTTTAAAATTCTAAAGAATGTTTTTTGTTATGTTGAAGCCATGGCTTTTGTTGACATAACTCTGAAATAATAAATTTTATAAAACCGTGTTGCTTATGTGGTATTTGAAATCTCAAATTTTGAAATATGAAATGAACAAATGACTGGTATATTCAAAATAGAGGTAACTTGGAAAGAACAAAGATTTAGAAGGAAAATGGTGTCAGTTATTACACGTGGCTGAAATTATTCAGTTTTAGTTTTTACTTTTGCTGGTCCTTTACAGTAGGTGAGGAGGGTCAGTATAGTAGCAAGTATCTGAATTTTGCAAAGTCATTATTAAATATGGTTTATCACATTCTTCCTGTTTTTTAACTCCCAAAATGAAGACTTATTTAGGCAAGATATCACATTCACATACGTTAATTAGTTTTTAATATGCAGTACACCTGGCTAGGGAAATATATGAGTTTTATGTAAATCACATTAGTAACTGTGACATCCCAAACTGTTTGGAGCTGAGAGAAAAGTATGCATTGTAAGTCAAAGTATTTTTAATAATTCTGAAGAAGTACATGTCTTGCATGGAAGAGCTGTTTGTTTTAAACATAGTGTTTAAGTAATCAGTGTGAAGATTGTATTATGAAAAGGGGGTACTAAACTATTTCTGTTCCCAGTGATTTTAAAATAATCCTAAATTATGAGAATGATGCTGTCATTTTTATGTCAGGGTGATAATTCTTGCTACCATCTTTTGTCCATATCAGTTTATTTATTTTCCTGTCTCTGAAGTGAATTTGTGCTTGTAACAGCACTATTTCTTTCATTGGTTCTTTTGTTGGGTTTTGGGTCCTAGTTCTGCCATGTGTTGGCTTTGCATGGTAATGTTTCTGTAATTCAGATTTTTGGATTAACATACATCCTGCCTCCTTTTGTTTCTTTCCCTTGGTCTGTAAAATATTTGATGTGGCTTTCTTCAGGCACTGCCAGAATATGATATTAGGTGAATCAAACCAATGATATATAAATAAAGGTAGAAAATTTTAAAAACCACAGGTATGCAAATTTTAAACCCAATATGATTGCTATAATGACATTTTAGAATTGATGGAGCTTCTTGGTAGGAAAAAGGAAAAGGACTAAATATTAACAAGTTATGTAATTCTCCCCTTTGGAAAGGAGCAAACATTGTCTTGAATCACTTTGCGAACTTAGTTGTTTGTCATATGGCTTTTGCTCATCACATTCTTTTATAACAAAAGTGAAAATGAGTAGTAATCCTGTGTTGCCATGTTCTATACACAAGTACTCATGTTATATAAGAATGTAGTCCTAGCATCCTAACATAGACAATAGAGTACCTATATCAAAGTCAGAACTTTTAAAAGAAAATACCTCTAAATTTTGGGTGTTACATGAAAAATAATTTGGGGCGCCTGGGTGGCTCAGTCGGTTAAGCGGCCGACTTCGGCTCAGGTCATGATCTCGCGGTCCGTGAGTTCTATCCCCGCGTCAGGCTCTGTGCTGACAGCTCGGAGCCTGGAGCCTTCTTCGGATTCTGTGTCTCCCTCTCTCTCTGACCCTCCCCCGTTCATGCTCCCTCTGTGTCTCAAAAATAAATAAACGTTTAAAAAAATAATAATAATTTTATTAAGTTTTGAAAGTTCCCAGTTTATGGGTATAGCCCACTGAGCCCCTTGTTTATATTAAAGGAAGTAGACTGTAAATCAATGGGTATGTATGTATTTTCTCAATTTGTAAATATTAAAAATAGAATCACTATTAGGACAAACATCTGTAAAAATTTTTGACAATGAAATTTTTTTCCTAGAAATTCAGAGAATGAAGGGAGAGGGGAAAGAATGCAAATGAAGATCAGATTGTGTTATCACAGGGGAAAAAAGCTGAAGTGGTTCACATAGCAGTCTCAATTTTCTTGGGTAAAGTAGGAGGCAAAGTCACTTCCTATGAGTGAAGGGGTAAAGAGTTGCAGTGGAGTTTTTAAGGTGTTTAGGATATAATAATTAGTTGACATTTGGTGTAAATCACAAATGAAGCTTAAATTATTGTTATAGAATAATGTATTTATATTCATCAATCTGTGTTATATAGAGCTTCCTGTAAGTATAATGGTCAGACAATATTGTCCGTGATTCTGAGCTTAATGTAGATAGCATGTCAGCATCTGGGCCCTGAAATAAAATAAATTAATTCCCCCCAAAATAATGCCCTCAAACTATATATACTCTGTAGCCTATCCCATGTGATTTTGACTTCTTGGTCATTAGAGTATTCGGTAATTTTCTTTCTGTGAAATGTCTGGTTTTGAGCAATATAGCTTGTCTATGAATATTTTACACTTAGTTATTTTAGGTAAATGATTAATAAAGGAGGGTATTACTAGTCAATTAAATAAATCGTTACGTTCAGGGGTGCCTGGATGGCTCAGTCATTTATGTGTCTGACTTCTTGACTTGCTCAGGCCATACCGTGGTCTCATGGTTCGTGAGTTCGATCCCTTCACTGGGCTCTGCACTGACAGTGCAGAGCCTGATTGGGATTCTCTCTCTCCTCTCTCTCTGTCCCTTCCTTTCTCCCTCTCAAAAATAAATAAAGAAACTTCATTTTTTTTTTATTTTTTTTTAT